GGGCCACGGTATTAGGGCGGGGCTACGCCGACGGGACGCCCCCTGACTCGTCGGCGCCCTAGAACGACGTGGGCGGAGACAAGCTGCTGCAGAAGAAGTGGACCACCTTCCTCAAGGCCCAGCTGCTCTGCGCCCAGCCCGGGCAGCTGCCCTTCAACGTCATCCGCCACGCGGTCCTGCTGCCCGGAGAGTCGTCCTCCGATTCCCGCGTCTACGCAGTCTTCACCTCCCAGTGGTGAGCGCGTGATCGGGCTGGCCCCGGGGTCCGAGGCCCGTGTGGCCCTGCCTCTGAGCGAGCACACTGCCCTGCGCCGGCCAGGCGGGTGATGGTCACCACCTCCCAGCAGCTTCACTGGTGTCCTTCATCTGGGTGGGACAAATAGTGCCCAGACAGGTTCTAACTGGTTTCTGGGCTGCCTGGTTCCGGAAGGATGGCCTGAAGTTTACGAAAGGCCAACATTGGAATTGCTAACATAGATAAGGGATGGGGGATGAAGAGAACGCAGGAAGCCAAGGACAGCACCGGTCCAAATGCTTGTCCTTGGGTGACGATTGCCTTATCTCCGAGCTTCCTAATGGCCGGGCAAAGAGGAAAACATCATCATTGTCATTAGAGGAAATTAAATTCATTGCTTAGAGGTTGAGAGAGGTTAACGGATCTGTCCAAGGACCCACCCCACAGCCGCGGTCTGGCCCTGTGGCGTTATATACTTGCTGAGGATGCGTCAGGTACCAGAGGTCTCACATCCTGGGCTCAGAACTGAGTGTTTGGTGTGTACAGTAGGCTGGAGAGTGGGAGAGAGAGAGAGACCTCCGATCTCCACAGACCAGGGCTGAAGGTAGAAAAACAGTCCACTGGTGCAGCTGTGGTTGGGTCTTTGAGGAGTCAGCCCAGGGGGCCCATAGAAGAGGCTTCATGGGAAGCCAGCCTGGGGCAGTTGTGCTGCCCCTCCTAGGGTACCTGCCAGCCTAGGCGGGCCAGGAGGAGCCACCCCCGGGCCTTGCCCCAATTAATTCTCATTAAGGATAATCACACGGCAGGCGATGGGCCTAGAGCCAGGGCCCGCGCAGTCGGAGCTCCACGGGACACCCCCAGCCTGTCTCACGCCCCGGGGGGAGAAGAGAGGCGGAGGTTCCCCAGCGCTGCCAGCCCTGCCCTCCTGGGCGCTCTCACTGCGGGACCAGGGCTGGGGGCAGTGGACTGCAGAGGAAAGAGAGTGTCTCCTCTCCCTGTGTTCAGGCAGATCGGTGGGACCAGGACTTCCGCGGTGTGCACCTTCTCCCTCTCGGACATTGAGCGTGCCTTTAAGGGGCAGTACAAGGAGCTGAACAAAGAAACTTCGCGCTGGACCACTTACGTGAGCCCAGCGACCAGCCCGCGGCCCGGCAGCGTGAGTACCTCCCCGTGCCTCGCAGGCCAGGCCCTCCCGCAGCGTCTGGCGGGCGAAGCTTCTGCCCTCGGCTGGTGAGTGTGGAGGCATCCGTGTCCCCACCTCAGGGTCCTGTCACACACCTGGCCCTGCTGGCCGTGTCCCACAGGTGTCCTGTGCCGTCTCACCCCAGAGCAGTTGCAGGGCCACCCCCTCCCCAAGACTAAGTGCACACTAAATGTCTGGCTGTGTCACTGAGGAATTAGGGGACGTGGACTGTGCACTGGGCTCTCCTTCAAGCATCTCCACCTGTGTTTCGTTTCTTTTCTGAGACAGGGTCTGACTCTGTAGCCCACACTGGCCTTGAACTCACAGCAACCCTCCTGCCTCAGCCTCCTGAGACTGGAATTACAGGCTTGCACCACCACGCCTGGCTTCACCTGTGTTTCTTACTTTGATTTTTTTCACTAATACTGCAGATTGAACCCAGGACCTTGCACAAGCCAGGCAAGGGCTCTGCCGCTGAGCTACATTCCCTGGCCCCTGCCTTTAAAAAAAAAAAAAGGTATTTTTGGGCTGGGGTGTTGGCTCAGTGGACCCGAGTTTGTCTTGCAAGCTCAGGGACCCGAGTTTGATCCCCGGTACCAAAACAAACAAACAAACAAACATGTTTTATTATCGTCTATTGCTTTTACAGAATATTGGGTTTAAATGTGGTATTTTCATGCATGCAAATTATATAGTTTGCCAGGCATTGTGGTGCATGCCTGTAATCCCAGCACTCGGGAGGCTGAGGCAGGAGGATCGCTGTGAGTTCGAGACCAGCCTGGGCTACATGGTGAATTCCTGGTCAGTCTCAACTACATAGTGAGACCCTGTCTCAAAAAAAAAAAAAAAATTATATAGTTTGATCATAGCCACATATTAGGGAAAACATGATAATTGTCTTTTAGCGTGTGGCTCATTTTGCTTAACATGGTGATCTCAGCTCCATCCACACTCCTGAAAATGACATAATTTTGTTCTTCTTTATGGTTTAATGATATTCTCTTGTGTATATGTACACATTTTCTTTATCCATTCATGGGCACCTGGCTGGTTCCATATCTTGGAGCTTTGAATTGTGCTCCATGCGGGTGCTAACCTTAATTCCTTTGGTATTAGCAGGGCATGGTACCACAGGGTCATATGGCAGATGTAGTTTTCGTTTTTTTGAGCAACCACCGTACTGAAATCTGTTTCTAATTTACATTTCCACCAGCAGGGTTCCTTTTTCCTGCATCCTCCCCAGCATTTTGTTTTTTGTATTCTTCCTCTTCTATTTTGGTACTGGGGATTGAACTCAGGACCTTGCGCTTGCAAAGCGGGAGTGGTTGCCACTGAGCTAAATCCCCGGCTCTGTCTTTTGTATTCTTGATGATATCCGTTGTGACTTGGATGAGACGGAGTCTCAGTGTAGTTTTGATTTGCTTTTCTGTAACGACTAAGGACACTGAACATAGTTATTGGTCCTTGGTACTTCTTTTGAGAAGGGTGTGTTCCGTTAACTTGCCCATTTATTGATTGGGCTATTTCTTTGTGTGTTTTTTTTTTTTTAAGTTCATCAGACATTCTAGATATTAATTAACTTTCTGTCAGAAGAAAAGCTGGCCAAGATTTCTCCCATTCACTGTTGGTTGTTTCTTTTGCTGTGCATAAATTTTAATTGCATGTGTTCTTATTTGTTGATTCTTGCAGTTATTTTCTGTGCTGTTGGGGTCCTAGTCAAGTGTTTCCCTTTGTTTCTTCTAGAAGTTTCAGAATTTCAGATCTTCTACCTCCGTCTTTGACCTGTTTTGTATTGATTTTTGTGCACAGTGAGAGATAGGGATCTAGTTTCAGTCTTCCATGTCTATCCAGTTTCCCCAGCATCATTGTTAAACAGGCTGCCTGTTCTCCAGCCTGGGCTTTTGGCTCCTTATTGAAAATCAGATGACTCTAGCTGGGTGTGGTGGTGCACATTTATAATCCCAGCATTTGAGAGGCTGAGGCAGGAAGGCCAGCCTGAATTATATGGTGAGACCCTGTCTCAAAAAAGCAAAAAAGAATCAGTGGCTGTAATTGTGTGGTTTATTCTGTGTCCTTGTTCTGTTCCACTGGTCTTCGTGTCTATTTTTGTCACTATGGTTTTGTAGTATAATGTGAAATTGGGTCTTGTGATGCTTTCAGCCTTGCTCTTTTTGCTTACAGTTGCTTTGGCTGTTCTAGGTCCTTTGTGTTTCTGTATGAATTTTACAGTTTTTTTTCTAGTTCTGTGAAGAATCTCACTGGTAATTTGTTGGGGATTGTGTTGAATCTGTAGGTTGCTTTTGTTGTGTGGCCACTTTAATAATATTAATTCTCCCCATCCATGAACATGGGAGGTCTTTCTATGTGGTGTCTTCTTGGATTCTTTTTTAGTATTCTGTAATTTTCACTGGAGAGATTTTTCTTGGTTAGGTTGATTCCTAAATTGTTTTGTTTGTTCGTTTGTTTTAATAGGAATGGTGAGAGTAGACATCTTTGTCTTGTTCCTGATTTTAGAGGGAATGATTTCAGGTTCCTTTGTTCAGTGTAATGTTGCCTAGCCCCTTTTTAAGATTTTATTTTGAGACAGGGCCTCACTGAGTTAACCAGGCTGGCCTTAAATTTACGATCCTTTTGCCTCTGCCTCTAGACTGCGTATCACCACACCCAGCTGTAACTTTTTGTTTGTTTGGCTTTTGTTGTTGCTTTGTTTTTGTGTTTTGAGACAGAGTCTCGCTATGTAGTTCAAGTTGGCTTTAAACTCACTCTGTGGCCCAGGCTGGCCTCAAACTCAAAACTTGCTGCCTCCTGCATCAGCCTCCCAAGTGCTGGTGATCTAAGTGTGTGCCACCATGCCTGGAAACTCTTTTTTGATGAGTTATATGTGTACATGATTTAAAGGATCATAAAGCGCCAGGATTACAAAAAGTACCCTCACTTTTTGGCCTCCACTTTTCCCCAATCACCTCCAAATCTTTTATTTAATTTTTTGTTTTTTGTGACAGGGTCTTGCTATGCAGCCCAGGCTGGCCTTGAGCTCATGGTAATCCTCCTGCCTCAGCCTCCCTAGTACTGGGATTACAGGCATGCATCACCATGCTGGCCCCTTCTGCTATTTTATTTTATTTATTTATTTTTTGGGGTGGTACCGGGGATTGAACTCGGGTCCTTGTATTTGCAAGGCAGGCCACCGAACCGCTGAGCTAAATCCCCGGCAGCTTCAGCTGTTTTAGAGGATTCTTTTCATATTTATGTTCAAGTCTCTATGCTTTTTTGTTATGGTGGTGGGCCTCAAACTCAGGGCCTCACCAAGCTAGGCAAATGCCCTACCGCTGAGCTACACTCCCAGCGCCCTGTCCCACGTTTTTATTACTACTTCTCAATATATCAGTCTCAGGCAGTAGCTGAATTCCCCTCTGGGAGGTGAGGATTCCCTACCTGGTGGGGTGCTGGAGCTATTTGAAGCAACTAGAAAGAACTGTTTTGCACACCTCTTTGCAAATTCAGAGCTTTTTAGGGGACCTGCCACAGGGACAGAATATGCTGCTGGGAAATAAGCAAGCGCTGCCTGGGAGGCTTTCCACACCTTGCCCTCCCCAGCCACTGGCCCCCCAGCACAGTCCTGCAGTGATTTGGACTAAAAGAAGAGTGTTTATATTATGACCCTTGTTACTCACCGAAGAGCCTGCTAGGAAGCCAGGAGCGTTTTAATTTTTTGCACAATTTTTGTTCTCCCTGAGGTTAGTAATTATTTCTCAGTCTTTTTTGTTTTCAGCGTGTTTCATTTTCTAATCTTTTATCTCTAAGATGACCCAGATTCTTCCTGAATTATCTTGCCATCTCCTGAAGGCAGATCCATGGCGGTTTTAGCAGTTTCATCTTCCTGGAAACCCTTCGCATCTGCCCCTGCTGCGGCTCCACATCCAAGCAAGTGCCGCCCTGGGACTCCCCTTCCTCGTTGGCCCCTCTTTCCTGCCACACATCTTGTGTTTCTTGCTTCCTCTTTTTTCACTTATTTTTTAGCTAACTCGATTCCTGGAAAAAGATATACAGTAGATAAAAGTTTTTGAAAACTTGAATGTCTGAAAATGTCTTTTGTCTTTACTTTCACATTGATGGTTTGGGTAGATTATGCAGTCTTTTCTTTTTTGCGGTACTGGGGCCTGAAACCAGGGCCTCACCCAGCCAGACAAGTGCTCTGCCATATTATTTCTGAGACGAAGTTGCTAGTTGCCCAGGCTGGCCTGGAACTTGTGACTCTGCTTCCTCGGCTGGTATTACAAGTGTGCATTACCGTGCTGTGCAGGCAAATGTTTCTGTAACAGAAATAATTTTCCTTCAAAGTTTGAGAACTTTGCTCTTTTACATTTTGGCATCCAGCACTACTGTAGAGAAGCTCAGGGCTGTTCTCTTAGTCCTTTGAATATAACCTGTTTTTTTCTCACTGGGCTCTGTATCTCTTTTCAGGGGGTCGTCCTCATATTCTACAGTTACAGGGTAGTGGGCTGAGGATGTAGCTCAAGGGTGCAGTGCATGCCTAGCAAGCACAAGGCCCTGACTTCGATTCCTGGTACCAAAAAAGGGAAAAAGAAATGTCATGATGGTGTGCGTTAGTGGAACTCTGGTCATTTACTCTGTGGGGCAGGCATTCAGTGGCCACTTCAGTCTGGTAATTTAGTTCCTTTAGTTCGAGGACATTCTGTTGGACTGGAGATGTAGCTCAGTACTTCTGTACATGGCTAGTATGCACAAGGTCCTGGGTTCGATCCCCAGCACTGTAAAAAATTCTTCTTGAACTATATCTCTACTTCTTTTTCATTCAACAAGTATTTATCGAGGATATGTGTCATGGTTGTAAGCACTGGGGTTCATCCATGAGCAGGAAAGGCTGACAGCCCTTCCCTCCTGGCACTTAAGTTCTAATGGCTGTTTTTCACTTCTATCTGAGCTTTCTAGACTGGCCCTCTACTCTTTAAACCTTTCCTGTTTTTCAAGTCTTCGAGAGTGTCGCGATTATGTCTTCTCTGCTTTCCACTGGGAAAGAGAAAGGAGAGAAAAGAGCTAGAGACAGACAGCAGTACCTTCCCTCTATATATGTCCAACCCTTTCTATTTTATTTTTATTTATTTATTTATTTATTGGTACTGGGGATTGAACTCTGGTCCTTGTGCTTGCTAGGCAGGAGTGGAACCACTGAGCTAAATCCCTGGCCCTTATTTTTAAATTTTGAGACAGTGTCTCAGTAAGTTACTTGGTTGCCCAGGCTAGGCTTGAACCTTCAGTCTTCCTGCCTCAGCCTCCCAGAGTGCTGGGATCACAAAACGTGATCCACCAAACCCAGCTCACAGTGTGGATCTTGTTGACTACATCTCTGTGGTGTAAATGAAATAGTTCTTTAAGGTGCTTGGAAGTTAGATTTAGAGACTTGATCAGGTTTAGGTTGGACTGGGAAAGATCACCCTTTCCCAGAGATCATTCACCCTTCCTTTTGGGTACAGGTGATATCGGGCTGCCCTCTTTGTGTGACACGAGGCTCTTCTCCTGCAGCTTTCTGTTCTTGTTTTGTGAGCGTGCTGTCTTCAGGGTAGTAATGCTAGTTTTCTATGAGGTTGTCTTCTCTTTGAATTTATTTCCTCTTAGGTTTTGTTTGTTATTTTTTTTCCTCATTTATTTTGGTTTCTTTCGTGTGCGTAGTTCTGGCCACCTTTACAGTCCTCAAGAACTTAACTGTATTTATTTATTTGCAATACTGGGGATTGAACCCAGGGAGTGCTGAGGTACATTTGCAGCCCTTCTTTTTTATTTATTATAAAAATATATTTATGTGATCCCAGCACTTGAGTAGCTGAGGCAGGAGGATCACTGTGAATTCAGAAGCAGCCTGAGCTACGTAGTGAGTTCAAGGCCAGCCTGAAATACATAATGAGACCCTGATTTTAAAAAAATTTCAGGCCAGGTATGGTGGCGCACACCTGTAATCCCAGTACTCAGGAGGCTGAGGCCAGAGGATTGCTGTGAGTCTAAGACCAGCCTGGGCTGCATAGTGAGTTCCAGGTCAGTCTCAACTACATAGTGAGACCCTGTCTCAAAAAACCAAAAACAAAAAAAAATTTTTTTTCAGGGCCCGGTATTTAGCTTAGTGGTGACACTGCCTGCCTCACAAGTGCAAGGACCTGAGTTCAATTCCCCAGTACCAAAAAATTAAATTTTTTTTTTTCATTTTTTACTAGGGTGCTTTTGAGATGGGGGGGTCTGAGTAAGTTGCTCAAGCTGTCCTCAAACTTGTGATCCTCCTGCCTCAGCCTCCCTAGAATCTGGGATCACTTGTGTGTGCCACCATGCCCATCTGGCTACTCATATTTCAGAGGAGGGGACACTGAGGCTGTTGGAAGCTCTGCCCATAAATAAGGCCTGGTGCTTTGGGCTCCATTATAGCCCTGCTGAGAGTGATCTGGCCGGGCTGCTGGCCATCGGTGGGAGCATGGAAGTCTTTGCTCGTGGCCCCGCAGTCTGCTTCCCCAGACTCTCCCGGCTTCTGCTTCTAGAGAGATGGTCTGGCTCCTGTGTCGGGGCGCCGTAGGGGAGGAGCACGGGTATGGGGTCTCACTGTACGACGTGCCCACCTGTCCCTCTGCCTTCAGGATGGCGGCCTCAGCCTCAGGCGCTGCCCTGCGTTAGGAACCCTCTGTGTGGCCTCTTCAGGGTTCAGCTCTAGACGTGGGGCCAGATGTGGAAGCGGCGGTCCCCAGCTGCGTGGACCTGGTAGGAGGCCCGCTTGCTTCTGAACAGACTTAGCAGTGACCCTCCTACTTAGCCTTCTCTTCAGCCTCCCTTCCAGGGGAGGGCTGGGGCCGTAATTCAGGTGTTTTAGGAATTTACCTTGTGAATCAGATGTTTTGGGGCTTCCCCCCAGACCTGGCTCGAGAAGACTCTTTTCTCTCTGTCCTTTCTTATTGGTTCATTTGGTTTTCTTTCTTTTATATTTTGTGGTATGGGAGGTCGAACTCAGGACTTCGGGCTTGCCAGGCAGGCGAGGCACCATGGAATCCCCGGCCCCAGTTCATTTGTTTTCCTGCTTCCAAAATGTGGAAGATTTTGCCTTCTTGCCCATCTCACACGTCCCTGTGGGTTTCCACGTCTGCGAAAGAAATCCCTTGGGGCAGAGGCAGAAGGAGTGTGTGCTCCTGCGTGCGGGAGAGAGGCTGTAGGTGTCACATAAGCGGGCGGAGCCTGGAGGGTGCAGTAACTTGTCTGAAGACCCAGGGTGTCCGTGCTGGGGTTGAGGCTGGCACTGTGGTGCTCTTGGGCCTGGAGGACGGGACACAGCTGTCCCAGAGCCACACGCGCTCGTGTTGGCAGGGCCTTGGTGAGCAGCTGGTCCAGCCCCCTCATCTGGGTGAGAGCAAGGAGGCCCAGAATGGAGGAAGGGCTCTCCCGAGTCACGCGAAGGCTGCGTGCCACACCGCCCGCTCTCGACACCCTTCACTCAGGCGTGGAGGCCGCAGAGGCTGGCTGAGCACCATCTGCACGCCCGCCGGCCCTGGACTGGGCCTGGAAGGAAGGAGTGAAATAGTCCTTGCCTGCAGGCGCAGTCACCTTGCTTCCTGCCAGCGCAGGTGCTAAGGCAGGTCTGGAACCGCAGTTACCATGCATCCAGCACTGCCCAGCACTGCACTGACGACTTCCGAGTGCTGGTGCATTTTCTTCTCAGGGCTGAGGTACCTCGGCCACCAGGGATGGAACTTGCAGCCAGACGGCTGAGTCCCGAGGGGAGAAGCAGGGCTCATGCAGGAGGAAGGCAAAGGCGAGCAGCAGTTGGTGGGCGGAGGAAGGAGGAGGGAGGAAGGAGGTGGCTGGGCGTGAGCGGCAGGAGGCCCTGAGCTGACTGCTGCCTGCCTCCTCCTGCAGTGTGCGGCGGGCCCCGCCTCTGATAAGGCCTTGACCTTCATGAAGGACCATTTCCTGATGGACGAGAAGGTGGTGGGGACTGCCCTGCTGGTGAAGTCTGGTGTGGAGTACACACGGCTGGAGGTGGAGGCAGCCCGGGGCCTGGATGGGCACAGCTATGTGGTTATGTACCTGGGCACCTGTGAGTAAGGGACTCGGAACGTCGTGTGCAGGGCTGGCCTGGGGCTGCACCCCAGCGAGGAGGGAAACCTCTGGACCAGACGCTTGTGCACTTGTTAAGCACGCGTTCACTGCACCTGGTGCCTTGCCTGTCTCTGGAAGTGCAGCAGTGGCGGGAGACGGTGCAGTCCTTGTCCTGCTGGAGCTTTCGGCTGCCTGGTGGGAGGTGCTTGGTGGTCCAGGAAGAGCTGTGTGGCCTTTAAGCCCTGTCAGGGTGAGGAGCAAGTGGGTGAAGAGAAGCTGGGGACCCCAAGGGCAGAGCTCACTCCTTCCGGCCGGAAAGGGGTCCCGGGAGGGGAGCGGCCTGTCCACCTTCGTCAGGACACCTTGGCGCCCAAGGAGCGTGTGACAGCGGCGAGGCCATGCAGCGAGGGGCCACAGGGGAAGGCAGGGGTCTCAGCTGTCCCTCCTTACAGCCACCGGCTCCCTGCACAAGGCTGTGGTGAGCCAGGGCGGCAGTGCTTACCTGGTGGAAGAGGTCCAGCTGTTCCCCGAGCCCGAGCCCATTCGCAACCTGCAGCTGGCCCCCAGCCAGGTGGGGGTTCACCCTTCCTCTGCAGGGCTGGCGGGGAGCTGGGGCTTCACGAGGTGTCCCGGGGCCTCCTGACACCGAGCTCTCCTCCAGGGCACAGTGTTCGCAGGCTTCTCTGGTGGCATCTGGAGCCTGCCCCGGGCCAACTGCAGTGTTTATGAGAGCTGTGTTGACTGTGTCCTTGCCCGGGACCCCCATTGCGCCTGGGACCCCGAGTTGCGAGTCTGCTCCCTTCTGCGCACCCCTGACCAGTAAGTGCCAGTCTGGGTGGCCGCTGAGCTGACCGGCTGGGGCCCTTCCCTGGCTTCCGCTGCTCTTCCTCCCCGGGCCACTGACGCATCCGCCATGACACATCCCGTCCATGGTGGGCTCCTCCTGGCCTGGCGTCTGGTTGACAGTTCTCAGGCTGCTGCAGCCATCCTGGGCCCAGGTCCCCTCCTCTGTCCAACCTCCTGTCCACGGCTCAGCGTCTCCCTGTCTGCCGTTCCCTCCCTGCCTCCTCCTCCCACTTCTGTTTGTTTCAAGGGGTGATCTTTACTCATCTTGCCTCCTCAGGATATCCTGGAAGCAGGACTTGGAGCGAGGGAACCCGGAATGGGCCTGTGCCAAGGGGCCCGTGGGCAGGAGCCGCCGGCCTCAGAGCCGCCCCCAGATCAGTGAGTGTGGGGCTTGGGCAGGCACTCGGGGAAGCTCTGGCCATGGCTGTGGCCATGGCTGCACCTGTCTGCCTGAGACCTGAACCTCAGAGCTGGGCTGGATCTGGGTCCTGGCCACAGGGAAGAACAGCAGGAATTCTGAGCAGGGGCCAAGCTAGAGTCAGGGTGAGGCGGCGGTTGGGTTGGGTAGCAGGTTGGAGTTAGAAGGACTGGAGGTTGGTTTGGGGTTCAGTGAAGACAGAGGGATGAGCTGGTCTTGATGGCGCACGCCTGTCATCCCAGCACTCGGGAGGCTGAGGCAGGAGGATCGCTGTGAGTTCAGACCAGCCTGGGCTACATAGTGAGTTCCAGGTCAGTCTGAACTACATAGCGAGACCCTGTCTCAAAAAAACAAAAAACAGTCAAGACAGAGAGATGAATATTGAGTTTGGGAGTTGAGATGGAAGCTGCAGATGACAGTGGGGTCCAGATGTGGGTTCAGCACTCCCTTCTGTGTCTTCCTTCTCCCTGTCTCTGAACCACCTTTCCTTGTCCCCCAGTTAAAGAAGTCCTGGTGGTCCCCAACTCTATCCTGGAGCTCCCCTGCCCCCACCTGTCAGCGCTGGCCTCTTACCGCTGGAGTCGTGGCACGGGGACAGTCCCGGAAGCCTCTTCTGCCGTCTACAATGGCTCCCTCTTGCTGTTGCCACAGGACGGAGTCGGCGGCCTCTACCAGTGCATAGCCACTGAGAATGGCTTCTCATACCCGGTGGTCTCCTACTGGGTGGACAGCCAGGACCGGCCCCTGGCCCTTGACCCGGAGCTGGCAGGCATTCCCCGGGAGCGCGTGCAGGTGCCGCTGACCAGGGTCGGTGGCGGGGCCGCCGCAGCTGCCCAGCGGTCCTACTGGCCTCACTTTCTCGTCGTCACGGTCCTCCTCGCCTTAGTGCTCTCCGGAGCTCTCATCGTCCTCCTGGCCTCCCCACTGGGGGCCCTGCGGGCTCGAGGCAAAGTCCAGGGCTGTGGGACCCTGCCGCCTGGGGAGAAGGCCCCCCTGAGCAGGGAGCCGTGCCTCCAGCCCCGCAAAGAAAGCCGGACCTCCGCCACTGATGTGGGTGCGGGCAACAGCTGTGTGGGCACGGAGGTGGCTTAAACTGGCCGCAGGCTGGGCTTCTGAGTGGGACGTGCATCTAGCCGTGCTAGCTGCAGGCCCGAGCCAAGCAGCCCTGACTGGGCCAGCGGTGGCGTATGGGACGACCTCCTCCTCCTCTGGCTGAGCTGATCCTGCCATCTGTGCCGCCTGCAGCAGCCAGTGGGGCCCTGCATGGCGCCTGATCCCCAGTGCGACTCTCTCCTGCCTGCACGAGGCTCTCTGGTGTGAGCTGTCCTCCGACCCCACCTGTGCTGTGACAGGAGGACCTGCGGAGGGGTCTTCCGTTCTGGCCACCCCAGGGGCCCTCCAGAAATAGCCCTAAACCTGAGTGCTGCAGGACCCCACGGTAATGAAGCCCAGACGGTAAACCTCCGCGAGCTAGGACGCTGTTCTGGCGACTCACTCTGAAGGCAGCTGCTACTTGGACGCAAACACTCTTCTCCTAGGGGTCTCCGGGTCCTGCAGGGAGCTGGCCACCTGCTCCCCTTACCAACTTCAGGGAGTTGTTCCTGGAGTCTGACCACATCTCTCTGGCTTCCACTGGGGCTGCCACTTGCTGTGTCCTGACTAATGTGGCAGGGGTGGTCTGAGTCTCCCCTTGACCCTGACTGACTCCTGACCTCTCTCCTCTCTCTTACCCTGGGTTTGAAAACTGCTTGTCACAGAAGATTTATTTTTATTAAAAAGACAAAAGCTCATGGACGCTGATATTTCTGTTGGAGCAGAGTGCTGCGGTGGAGGACAGCCAGGTTGTGCGGGGAGCAGGTGGCCCATGGACGTCCACCGGCCAGCGTCTAGGGCTGCGGGGCGACCGCTCTCTGGAACCCCACCTGCCTCCGCTCCAGGCACGGTCGGCTCTGGCAGGCTGCGTGGACCAGCTCCACTTGGGTCTGCTACACCGTGGGTGACACCTCATCTGCCACAGCCGCCACAGTGGCTGTCCCCACGCACACGCTTCTCGTGACTCCAGTTCAGCCCCCAGCGGCTGTTGGTCCCGACTCCTAGTGCAGGAATTTACAAGGAGAGGGCCGCCACCCCGTCCGGCCGTCCCAGCCTGTGAGCCCAGCTCTGCCCACCTCCCCTTCCCTTCCTCCGCTTCATCTCCCTCCTCCTACACATGTGCTCTGGTGGTCTCTGCGCAAACACCGGGCACAACCGCCCTGCCCAGCTGTCCGCCCCGTCCAGCCTGCTCCCGGGTCTGTCCCGTCCCCAGGGAGTGGCGCCCTGCTGGCTTCCCCCGCTGCCTCCTGCTCTCTGGGCCCCTGCTCTGGCTTCTCGTCTGCTCTCTGCTCCTGAGACCCTCAGCCAGCGCCTGCCAGGCACAGCTCCCACCCCTGCACAGCCTTCCCACCCGGGCTCCCTCTTCTCACATCTCTCTCTGTCTCTGTCTCCTCTCTCTTTTTTTTTTTTTTTTTTTTTTTT